GTAGTTGTGTTTTCATGTATTTATGCGAAGTCTTAGAGTTTATTTAGTGTCATAATGTGTATTAATGAGTCTGAGTGTTTATATTGTTCTAATGGCTGATGCGTTTTAGAAATAAGTGATGGGTTCTGGTCGGGATAGTCATTGGGACAAAGCAGTTTATATAGCAAGCGTTTGAAGGTTACAATAGAGTGACACGTCCTATTTCTAAGGGTAAACTGTTCCTGTATGTTCCGTACTAAGTCTTTATGCATCCATGCTACTAGTATACTTATAGTTTTTAGATTGCTAAGGGTATTGAAGTGCGTTTTTTAGGTGCTGTAGTAGACTAATAGTTGATTCGTTCTAGGAATAAATAGTTTATTAATATAATCAGTAGAGTGAAACAGTCGGTACAGAGAGCGTTTGAAACTTGTAACCGAAGAGCAAGTTCTGAAACCTAGGGGCAGACTATTCTATATTTTAGAATACATGACTGTGGAGAAGTTTTCACGGAGTGTTGACCTAAAAGAGTGAGTTATCACTGTGCAAGTTTGGTTACGCAGATCGTAAGAGCCTTCCTGCACGAATTGTAAGTCCCTGTAACCTGAGAATGATATTTTATGAAGGACCTTAAAGAAGAATATAAGGTTTATAATAAGTCGTCTTGTCCAAAATGGGTCAAGTTTTAGGATCATGCACCGTGAGGTGTAGTCCTTCTTAGAATCATAGCCAAGTAGTTTTGAGGTAAATTATCGTTGGATACTTTCCATCCTTAGCTTGTCACGTGTTCGAGTGCTGCTTATAATAAATGGACATTAGTATTGACCTTTTATGTTTTGTACAGAATTAGCTTAGCTTCACTGTCGTGAATGTTCCTAAAGGCATCCTTGACTTTCGAGTCTGTGTTGCTACTTGCAGATCCAGCCACATTTGTTCAGATTAAATTGGAGATTCCATAAGGACGACCAAGCAGTCATTTTATCTAATTCCTTCTGCACTACATTCTCGAAGTACCCTAATTCATCACGTTGGAATGTGTAAGCTACTTTTAGCTCATCTGGAAAATGAGTGGTTTCCCGTGCGTGAAGCAAGCGCATATGTCATTGATGTATAGTGTGAATAGGAGGGGTCCAATGACACTACCTTGTACTACACCAGAAGTGATAGGGCTAGGTTTGGAGGTTGCAGACCCGAGTTTAACTATTCGGGACCTATTGCTAAGGAATAATTTAAGCCATCCTAGTAATGGGTCACGTATTCCTAAGGAGTTCAGCTTATTTGTTAGCAGTAAATGGTCAACAGGGTCAAATGCCTTAGAAATGTCAAAGTAGATGACAAGTACTAGTTGCCGTCTGTCACGACTGCTGGTTACAAAATCGAAGAAGTCTAGGTGACATGTTAAACATGATCTGGATTTCAGGAATCCATGTTGGTTCGGACTTATAATATTGCAGCTAAGCATATGTTTGATTAAGTTATCTTTAACAAGTCTCTCCATAATTCTGGATGCTAGGTGTGATATTGATCGGCCGGTAGTTACTGACTTCAGTTTTCGAGCCATAATAAATGTTGTCTCCCATATGTCAGGGTAAGTTTGAGTTTCTAACGACATTGTGAATATTTTAAGCAGCAGTAGAGGAATGTCAGGGCCACCATATTTATAGAAGTAAGATGATATACCGTCGGTACCGAAACCTTTTGAACTTTTGAGGGTTCTTATAGTTTGGTTAATATTAGCGTAAGTGAATTCAACGGTGCTAATTTGGTTTAGTGTGAGTGGAGATGGAGTTTGTGCCATATTAGTAACAGGGTGTATATCGAGTAGCTGGACTGAGGGCTTAAGGTAGTTACCTGCAAACGTTTTGTTGAATAGTTCACATATGTCTGCAGAGTTAGTGAATAGCCTACCTTTGTCTATGAGGAGAAAAATGCTGTGATTTTTGCGATTCATTCGCTTCCTTAAGATTTCTGTGAGTGCATACACTCTAGCAGAACTGGCTACTGCGATGCGTTCTTCCTTTCTCATACGGAAATCTCGAGCTTGTGTGATGGAGCTAGGGGTATTATTATTATTATTATTGTATCCTTTAGTTCCTAGAGGAACATAGGGCTTCAGCTGCGCACCTCCATTGACTTCGGTTTTCTGACAACTTTTTCACCCTGCTCCAGGTCTGCCCACATGCTTTCATCTCCTCTTCACATGACCTCCTCCAAGTCACCCTTGGACGACCAACTCGCCGCCTCCCTTTCGGGTTCCACTCGAGGGCTTGTCTAGTGATGTCACTTGATGGTTTCCTCAGCGTATGGCCAATCCATCTCCATTTCTTTCTGCCTATTTGTTTCACAATCGGTTCCTGATTGGTTCGCTCCCAGAGATCCCTGTTGCTGATCTTTTCTGGCCATCTGATCTTGAGTATTGAGCGGAGACAGTTGTTAATGAAGGTTTGAAGTTTGTTTGAGATGCTCTTTATGACTCGCCAAGTCTCTGATCCGTATAGTAGCACTGACTTCACATTGGAGTTGAAAATCCGGATCTTATTTTTGATGCTGAGTGCTGTTGACCTCCACACAGATTTGAGAGTAATGAAAGCTTGTCTTGCTTTTCCGATTCTGGCTTTGATGTCTTCGTCAGTTCCGCTAGGGGTGTTAAGTATTAGACCTAGAGTGCCAAAGTCGTGGTGTTTGAAGTAACTTGTTGAGAGTCTCTTCAGTTTCGTACGATCCTTTGGTTTTATGAATGACTTTCTGTGTGGGGAAACCTTTAGTGTTTGGAGTGGAATGACAGCATCTAAGCATGTGTTAGAGTTATGGTAGAAGATGGTTAGGGCTCTCGATAGGTCATCAGTAGTGAAGTATTCATCCCATTCGGAGGATCTTAGCATTGATTCTACTAAGGCCCAGTTTGCCTTACTATAGTTCCTATATATTACTTGTTGTGAAGTGGAGGTATGAGATGCATTGCTACTCAGCGGAAGTGGCAGTGCACATATCACTGTTTTGTGGTCGCTCCCTGGAAACTCAGAACCTACTAGCGTTGAAAGGGGGCTTATATTGTGGCAGAAGATTAAGTCTAGTACGTTATTACCTCTTGTGGGAGTAGTGACAGTTTGTTTCCAGCCAAGTATATCCAGTGTGCCTAAGAACTTATCAAATTTAGTTGGACCTGTGGGTATATCCCAGTTGATTTCAGGTAAGTTAAAGTCCCCACATAGGATCTTATGATCGTATTGTAAGTCGGATAATTGCTCCAGAGTATTAATAAGTTGGGTCTCGTAATTACTAAAGGTGCCAGGTGCTCTGTAGGTGCATCCAATTAATGCTGTTACGTTATTTAAGTGTACATTAACCCATAGAGTCTCAGGCATGTTAAGTGTACTACTTTCTAGCTGTGATACAGTAAGTGCATTCAGAAAGTACATGAGACAACCCCCTCCCTTACCACCTTCCCTGTCACACCGAAAGTGTGTGTAGTTATCTAAGCTTATTTCTTCATCCAAGATGTTCGAATGACACCAAGATTCAGTGATGACAATTACAGGGGGTTTGTATATTACTGTGAGTGCTCTGAGCATCGGCAATTTATTTAGAACAGATCTAGCATTTATGAGGATTACGTAAAGATGAGAGTTGAAGTAGCATTTGAAGTATTTAAGTTCGTTAGTCAGCCCCGAATATGGTTCAGCACCCAGTAGTTCTGCTTGACATGATGATCCTATGTTAAGAGGAGTTTCAGCATCATGCTCACCTATGTCTATCGAGTTGGTGTGTGCTGTTTTCGGTGAAGAATTAGGAGTTGGAGTACTGGATTTGCTATAGACTAAGGAATTTTTATTTTTAGTTAGGTTACAGAAGTGGGTAGGGTTCTTTATTTGACCTATATTTGTGCAAGTGTCAAGTGTGCCTAATGGATACGGGTGCACTAGACCGTTCCTGTTTTCATGCAAGGAGGGAGCCAGCACTAGTGGTTTAGGAGTGTTAACATCCCTACCAGCTGTTTTTTCAACGCTGACAGGGACGCGGGGGATAAAAAATGATTGGATCCTTGTGATGACCATGGCTTATTATTCCACCTATTGTTTGATGCTAGTTGTGTCCTTGTGTAAACACAATAATTAACCATGAAATATGTTTGAAATGACGAAACAATTAGTTGAATTGTATATAATAACGTTAGTAAACATTTTTCAATAATACAAAATAGATATTGCGTCTGCCTGCAAACGTCAAGTTTATGCCATAAAATAAGGAAATACTATGCATATAGAATTTCTGAGTATTTCTGCAGATTTTTCTCAAAGAAATACACGTGTGGCAGCCTTGTCTGCATTAGGAAAAGTACACAACAAAGTAAATGAAATAATTACCAAAACGAGCTATCCCATCTCATCATGTCCCTGTGTAATCCATTAAAATGCAAAAAAATTCACGAAATGGTCGTTATAACATGTGTCTTCAAGCAATTCGACATATTCTGAACGGAAAAGTACGTTTTTTCAACAAACTGCAAACTGCCTGTAAGCTACGGCCGGATTAGGACCCCACCATTGCCTATTTCTGCTAAATACGCCGTATTTCATCAACTTTTAGCAGGAATATATGTAACTAAGTGTGTAAAACAACGAAAAATGACCTAACCTTGACGTCTTTTCCAAAAATAACGCCAATATCCATCAACTGATCAAATGACATACGGCCGTCTACAGGCTGCCCATTTTAACAGCAACGGAAACAAAAAATTAGGTGAAACGCAACATTTGTGAACAATACGCAACAGGATAAATCGTGAATAACTGCAGGATAAACGGAACAACAAACGCGTAGACGAACAGCTAAGGAACTGCAATCCAACATGGCCGAGTGATATGGACGAAAATGACCTTTGAGCGTCTCACTCCACCAATGACCTTGTTAAGTCTGAAAACCAAAATGACCTTGAAAGTGACGGTCAACTTCGGTGAATTAAAGCGGTAACAAAATTTACATGAAAATTTTATTTTCATTAGGACAAAAATTTAGTTTATTTACATATTAAGAACACGATTGATTCCTGCGATTACTCTGTCTGCATAAGCATTGGCAAACACTTCTCCAAATTTGTCATTAATTCTGTCCATACCCGCATTGATAATCTTCTTTTTGGTATCGTATATGTTACTTCGATTTCGAGGGATAACTGCTGACGTACTTTGAGATGCGAACAAGTTGCGTGACCACGTCCATTGTTTGCAATTATGCATCACATGGTTAACTACAATAGGTGGAACAAAAAAAGTTAAGATAACTATGAACTGATTATTACATTACATTATACATTAAAAACGTAGTCATAAAAACGCAAATATACCTGTGAAATACGGCTTTCTTAAGTGGACCAAAAGCAAGTGTCGGCAGGGGTACCGACAGGTCTGAAATGTAAAGCACGTGCAGGTGCAAGTACTCAGATCAACCTGCACTGTTTTCCCATTTTCTTTGAAAAATACATAATCAACGGATTCGAACTCAACAGTAGCCCATCGTCGCAATTGGTATTCACGTATTACCTTCCTCGCGGCGTATGGTGTAAGCAACCGTATAATTGGGATTAAACTTTGTGAACAGGGATACGTGAAGCATCGTGATTGAGCAATATTCGCCTCCTGCTGTCTTATTGAAAAACTTCGTTTATGCCATTTATACACCTTTAGCATACTTTTATGCAGACTATCAGATCTTTGCAAAAACCGTTTCATCTGCTTGTGGGAACTCTCGACACGATTATTTGTATCGTTCCCAAAAGTCAGCACGTTATCTCTGAAACAGGCCGCCCACAATTCTCGTCGATGCATCCAACGACGTTGTAGGTATTGACTGACATTAGCGTCCAATCTGCTAATAACTCTGAAGTAGAAATTAAATCTGCAAAATGAGAACAATAGAGGCATTACTCTGATCTCCTTTTACACTGCACTAGACGGCATAAGTAGTTCTTTACAATGGGATTTCTTGTCTACGAATAAAATGTAAAGTATGCTTTGAAAAACTTACCTTCCGACAGAAAGCTCGGCAAACATGAAAAGAACACAAAACAATGTGCGTGTCAGCTACCGTCTCATAAACCGGTAATGCCCAGCTCTCGCTACGCTCGGGCCCACGCTGTTCCTAGAAGATTTCTGAGAAACGCTTAGTAACAACGGACGAAAAAACCAGAACACCAATTGTTGACTTGAGTATTATGTATTGTTACACCAGCATATAAATCAAGTATCACTAAGCAAACTAAGAAAACTAAGGTCTGTAAACAAATATTACAATAATAAATCGTTATGTTACTTCTAACGATGTTTAACTCTTCTTTCTGAACAGCGACCGATGAGACGATGACTGTCGTATTGATGCCTCCGCGAAAATCGAGGAAGTTGATTTTGAGCAAACAACCAAGAATTGATCGTTCAATCTTCAACTCCATTGACACTCCCCGGCAAAAAAGGGATCCAACCCTTTTTTCCTTCACGACCAATGCACGTTGACTTGGATGCCATTGCGAGAACCTGGGTCACACGGACAGAGCTGAAATGGAAAACAAACAGAAAAGCCAACACACCACAAGCATACCCACAGCACAATCTCACACATCAATGACGACCTGCGCCTCCAGACAGAGACCTCCTCTTGACATCTTGCAACACAATCGCCACTTGCTAGAATGACTCTTGCAGAATGCAAAGTGACCATGGCAGCACCTCACGATACTCTACGCACATCCTCTTATCTACTCATTACCAATTACCACTGCAATCGCTTGTCACTCATTCTGCCTCAGTTCTAATAGCGGTGACGCATGCGAGCCTCAGTCGTTTACACTCTTTCTCCCCGGCGTGTCGGACCGCAGCTAACAATTGTCTCCGTGTGCATTTCATTCTCAGCAATAGCCTAGCCTCCCCGGCGTATACGACCCATCTGCTGTCCTTAACATCAATCAATTCATTCATGGATGTAGAAGACTCGAAACAACTTCAGAAATAATCACGACGAAAATTTTAACAAAATTACGCAATAACAACAAGACACGAAAACAACAAGTAAACACAATGAATCCAAAAACACCAATTGCTATGACACACCACACGTATATACAAATAGTACAAACAACCTCGCCGATCATGTCTTGGTGGAATTCCTTTGAAGAATTGCAGGACTTACACCAGTACGCCTACAACCCTTCACAGGTTGACGATTGTAAGTTGTGGAATGTCCAGACACAAACAAGATTAACCAACAATTACATCAATTGGAACTCACACAACTATTTAACACAAACATATGTACAATCAACACATCAAATGTTGTGGATTCTGACACGACAAACTACCCTTGAAGAACTGTAGGACTTACAGCAGTACGCCTACATTCCTTCTCAGGTTGATGATCCAAGTGGAAGTCGTCCGGACACAAACAGAATTACCAACAGCTAGATGACAGATGATATCAATTCAGTATATACAATATGAACATATGTACAAAATCACACACCAAGCACATTGGACTGCTCATTGATGCGCTACCCTTTGAAGAATTGTAGGACTTACAGCAGTACGCCTACAACCCTTCTCAGGTTGACGCCCTAGGTTGGAAAATCGTCGCAGAGTTCATTTGCTAACTTCCTTCTATCAGCTATATCCTCAAATCTGAACGGCAACACGCCCATGTCATTGTATCGTAGAATATAGATGACCAAAAAACACACGACATATCTCATCAACCAAGTATAGAAACAGAGTAATTTACACCAAAGATAATAACATTCAAATAGTAACTTGAAACTAGAAATGCCTTTATTCATGCAAGTCAATTTAACAATAACTCTCTCCTTTACACTTGGCTTATCCACACTAAACTGACCATTGATATTCGTCCTTTCAAACGAACTGATACTACCATAGTCATTGCAGAAGATACTAGAGTTGATGGGCATCTGTTTCATTGTGGATGAAAACACCAACGATGACTGAGTGACACAAGGTGATGAACTTAGTGGTGGATCAGAAGCTGTTCTTGTTCGGCTCTCAGATAGTTGTCCAACTGCAAGATTACCACCACTGCTGTCTTTCACTACTAGTTCAGGTTTAGCACTATCATCTGATGATAGGTGGGCTACATGCTGATCAATTACACTGACTGTCTCACAAGTATGCACACCTTCTGGAACTGCATCTGCGTTCAATTCTACTTCACGTTGTAGTTGTACAGAACCTTTATTTAACTTAGCAGTAGTAGGCATATCCCGCATCTCATAATGATCAACCAAAGACAAATCTGCACTATCATGATCATCACCACAAATATTCAATTTACCGTCAAGTTCATCATTTTCAAGCTCCTTAATAACAGAAGTAGACGATTTTCGTTCCTCCTCAAAATCATTAAAGGTTTTATAACTTCACTCTGACTAGATATACTTTGTAAACTTGTGGAGTCAGAACTCCACTCTGAAGCAGTAACTCTATTCTGTGACACTCTATTCAACAACGGCTTACCAATTGCAACTACAGACTTCTTCACAACACCGTTATCGTCACACAATTTGGAGTCAGACCTGGAGTTTACATTTAGCTTATCACTGAACTTGCTCACTGATTCACAGTTCACTTTTGTATGCACCTCTTGCAAACGAGTACAACACAACCGTGTTTGTCTTGCATCTTGCAACTTATCTGTTGAGGATGTACTACGAAAATTGTTACACTCACTAGATCTATATGCATTACTAGACATCATGGAGCCTTCTCGATATCCACCTCTCTGAGGCTTATTCGTCATCAATGAGTACGTTTTCCCCTCAGACTGCTCTATTCTATGGGTGAGATCTAACAGACTGGCGAACTTGCTCATAGATTGATTGACACTAGTATTTACCAGTTTCAGGATATCATCAAACTTTGGCTCGATACCCTCATCCTCCATACGGGAGCTTATCTTCACCCACTTCCTTTGCAGTCGGGTAGGTAGACGTCTTGCTATTACTTCTAGTATAAAACTCGAGTTGAGGTCACTCATTCGATTCATCGAAATCATTCCATTCTTGTAAATTAGCAAATTATCTAAAAACTCAGTGAGTGCCTGGGAGTCATCCTTTAACTGACCACCATTACCCTTAACAGCCTCGAATAATTTCCCTGCAATCATCGAGGGTCTTCCAAACCTTTGGCGTAATATGCTCATAGCCTCATCGTAGCCCTCCTTTGGCTTCATAAACTTACAACACTGTATAGCTCTTGCAGCATCTCCAGTGCAATATCTCATCAAATACATCAATTTCAATTCATCATTTAATAGAAAACTATTCAGCATGATCTCAAACTCGTTTACAAATTGTAAATAATCAGCCGGGTTTCCATCAAAACATCGTGGTTCTAATTTAGGGAGTTTGATGTTCCTATTATCCCTGAACGGCGAAACAGTAACATCAGCCATATCATGTTTAACATCAGACACATCGTTACAATTAACAGACAAGTCACCATGACTTACTTTCCTGTTTGCATCCAAGACACTCTGTCCCTTCTTTGACCCAGGCATTGTTGAACTTGACCAAATTCCAAAAAAGTTCCAGATATTGCTTGTTCAAAGAGGACTTGACCGGCACCAGGAAAGATAAACGGCGACTATCCAAACTTGCACCAACTGTTTCAATCCGCCAGATCTGATTCCATCGTTAGAAACTGTCAGCTACCGTCTCATAAACCGGTAATGCCCAGCTCTCGCTACGCTCGGGCCCACGCTGTTCCTAGAAGATTTCTGAGAAACGCTTAGTAACAACGGACGAAAAAACCAGAACACCAATTGTTGACTTGAGTATTATGTATTGTTACACCAGCATATAAATCAAGTATCACTAAGCAAACTAAGAAAACTAAGGTCTGTAAACAAATATTACAATAATAAATCGTTATGTTACTTCTAACGATGTTTAACTCTTCTTTCTGAACAGCGACCGATGAGACGATGACTGTCGTATTGATGCCTCCGCGAAAATCGAGGAAGTTGATTTTGAGCAAACAACCAAGAATTGATCGTTCAATCTTCAACTCCATTGACAGTGCGCTTGTCTGTGCGTTAACTTGACGGCTGCTATTTCAGCCTGCGCACAATCCATAATGAAGGATTCTGTTTTCGAGGTGTCTTCCATTATTTGCCGGAAACAGTCTAATATCCAAACTACATCTCGTTTGAATTCTTTTCTAGTCCACGCAAATAAAACTGGTCGTCCACGACCAAAATTATCCGTCACAAGTAGCTGGAACAAAGAATACCTGCACGTTGATTAATGAATTGGTAAACTTACTTCCCTTTATTTGTATTATACGTCGAATCAATACCAACAACTTCAGGGAACTGTTTATACAATTCCATTTGCTCATAAGTTGCAAAACAAATTCTTGTTAGTGAATTCCTGATCGGTTCATCGGAATAATACTCCATTAACTTCCCACGGGATTTTAGGAATTCAAAAATGTCACGACGACTCGAAATACCTTAAGTATGTAACAAGTACGTCAACGTTACCTTTATTCACTGCGGCTTTCATATTTTTAACGTCAATGCGAGTTATATCCTTGTTGTACTTCTCCTTAACATGCATTATTATTTCATCGGATGAGTGGGATTGCTGAAGAAGTGGTTCAATATTTTCTTTCTCTTCAACTGTTAGTCGTCTATACCATGGGTCATTCTGCATGTACACCCTGCTGCATGGATGGTTATGCACCATATTGTGGGAAGCAATTATGTATTCACTATGATGCAAAACCACGCGAAATGAAGACGAGCAATTGCAACATTTAGACCTGCAATATTCATGAAATCATATTACACTTCTTCTTACGACTTGTTTTTCAATTTCAATCCACGTCTTGTACGATTCACTCCAAAAGTGCATCTAAAACCAACATAAGCGTACTTAAACCTGGCATCCGGCATCGTTTTGCTGCAATTATGAACATAGTGAGTGTAGGATAACTACACTGTTAGCATTAAATGACTTCCTCACTTTTTGAAATTCTGCTAATGACTTCTCAAATTCATCCCAGCTGAAGAAACGCTTTCCAAGTATGTATTCAGCAAAAATTCCACTTAAATCTGTGCTCCTGTCACGCGAATTGACTACCTGCAACGGACTAAGATAAAGTTATCAATTAGGATCCATCTATGTCACAACTATTCCAACATAAATCGTAAAAAACAACATTGAAATACAGGGATGATCGATAACCATCAAGAAAATGCCGCACGTATAACCTAAATTACAGAAAAACACAAGAACCCACCGGTTCGTTGACATCGCAAGCAACCAATAGACCAAACAACGAATTGTACGACAAATAATGCCTAGTACATGCACAAACAAAGAAAAACAAAGCGTTACAATAGTTTCATACACGTTTACAGTAATCACATATGCTGGCAAACGACGCAAACACAACCACGCAAATACAGCACCCGACAGCACGCACCCAAGGACAATTCAAACTCCAATTGACCGCCACCATTCTAGCCAATGAAAGACGAAAAAAAATTATTCGCGGAAAATATAACACGAGACAACCTATATACTCACCCTCAGGATGACAGTAAGCGCATGGTTATTACAATTGACATTTAGACTGCACTGGGATTAATTTTAGATGTAGGCTTTCATATGACACCTCTCATAGATGAGGCTGTCAAATGTGTAAGATTATTGTTAGAAAAGAAGGTGAGTTATTGTTACATAAGGCGAGAAATATCAAATTTACTCAGTTTTTTGCAGAGTCTAAAGATCAGGTTGCATTTATTCTTTGTGGTTCCGACGCTACAGACAATTCCCTTGCGGACGATGAGGGAAACTTTCAAAATATTTCGGTGATTTTCGGTCTGAACCCTATAAGCTGGAGTCTTCTGGAGCTTTTGACACCAAATTTATTATCATCGTCAACAGCAGATGGTAGACTTCGTTTATGTTTAATTTTTGTGAACAGTTGTTGACGCCATAATGGTGGCGGCTGATCACTTACATAATCACTGCAAGTAAGCTTGGAATCCTCGTTTAATGTCAATGTTTTAGGAATAAAAAAGGTTTGAAAGAGAAGCACATACTTCTTGTCAGTAATCTCTGCGGCCCAGTTGACGAGTGCGATATATCCAAACTCACTGAAACTCTGCAGCCTACAGGTATCAAATTCAGTCTGATCGGTTGTGATCTGACGAATACGAATAATATTGCACGACACGACACCTTAAATGAACCTGGACCATCTCATAGACCTTCCCGCCAAATTGATCATTCTCGAAAGTCCATTCCATGTCTTCCGTTCTTCTCTGAACTGTGGTCTAGACTTGATGGTGAATCGTATGAACTTATGTGAGTTTATCGACTTAAAAAGTTGTTACCTGTATCCCACCAAAGTAATATTTTCTGGCGGTTGAGTGCCAGTTTTTACTTGAGGTAATTTTTATTCAAAATCTTGCCTTGGAAGTATCTTCTGCCCTTCAGTGGTTTTCTGAGTTGTATTTGTAAACAAATATGAAAGGAACATTAGGTTTTCAGTGTAACCGACTTAAGACATCAGTCTTTGGTCTTAGTGCAACCGTCGCACTTGCTGACTGATGATACTGATTATGACAAAGGTGCGGTGATCACATCTTCAGCTTTTGACAAGTTCTGGAACACGGATATCCAACACCTAGCATAATATAGTCGTTCTGGGTGAAGCCGCTGACAAAATACTAAGCTTTCTGAATACATTGTATAAAAATCTTAATGTGTTTGGTATGCTCTCTGCCCCTTTCATATGTAAAATAATGCTACAAGACTGCTCTGGTTTAAAGTTGATCAATGAATTGATAGAGCGTGTCCTTCTGGGATGATCGCTGACAGATACAAAAGGTTCGTGTTGCACTTGTCAACTTACGTCATCTCTGACGTAGGTGCGTTATCCGGCTATTGGCTAAAGAACGTGTGTACCGTGCATTAGTTCTCTCTATCCTTGATTTTGGTAGCGACACAAGGCCATTTAAGGTTGAAGATATGACAATAATGCCTTTGACTGTAAGTCTTTGTATTCTATATCCCGTGTTAAGTGATGCATCATGGTGAGTAATATTAAGGTCAGGTGTGGAGTTAGGTAAAGAGAACAAGTGAGACAAGGAAGTTGTGAAGCTTCAGCTATTGAATTTGATAGTACACACGTTGGGCATACCAGGCCATCACTTTCCCTATCGACTGATGTTAGCTGACTGAGGATTAAGTTAAAAAGCAATTACGAGTGGTCAAAGCGAGACATGACATCAATCCATGAAGTCCTTGATTGTCGATATGAGACACATAGGGAGATGTAGACCGCTTGATAACTGATTGACTGATTTCATCATAGAACTTTGCACAGATGTAAAACAGTTCGAGTTGTCACAATCCATGTAGCACACGAAGCAAGAGAAGAGAGTGTAGAGAGATTCAAAAGAGATGATAAACAGAAGTGTGAGGCAAGAAGAATAGCAATATGGAAACGATTTTGAGCTATATCACCAATTGTCTCCAGCCGTTGGTTTTTACTATCCCGAGGACCTCAGCCAAGAAGTCTACACCTCCCTACGTGGCTGGCTTAAACTAACTGCAGTGGATTTCATTGGCCACCTCTAGCCAACTGTTTTCCAACGTGATCCTATGTCACCTAACATTGTCCGCCAAGGAAGGCAAAGGCCAGGCATGCGTAACACATGTTCTTACCATCTCAATCGATGTAACTTCACAGCCTCGTCAGCTGATATCCCCTCCTCATCCTATCATGCCATCTGATACGGGAGATAGAATGCAGATCCATATGATGAAATTCAGTTTGCCTTCTCATGTCTTCCACTTTCAATGGCCATGTCGCACAGCTAGTAATAAAGGAGGACACAGTGAACTGTTGAGCAGTACAAACGTCCTTTGATCAATAGTCAGCCGGATATCACGTCTACGCCATAGATGGCGTAAGTTGGCGTACTGTTAAGCGAGCCCTCTGTATCCGTGCCGAAATTACGTCGGTAATCAGCCCTCTGGCACTGGCTGACGCGAATTTATAAATAAATGAAATGATCAACACGCTCCACCAAATCACTACCTATCTTTAAGCTGAGAGTCGGTGTAGTTCAGTCCTGTAACATCATCTTGCATTTAACGGGAGCGAATCGCATGCCAAACATTCGAAGATTGCTGCTCAAGGTGTCCAAATGACTGTATTTTTTCAGCGTCTTCACCCAGAAGGACAATATCGTCTACATATTCTAAGCCAACGTGACTATCCCCTTATGGTAACAAGTCAGTCCTTGAGTCACTGGTCAGTTAGAGTTAAGTCTATTAGTCCATCTGTGGTGAAACTAAAAAGAATTGGGATCGTGGGCATCCCCAATAAACACCAGTGGTTGTTACCACTCTTGATGGTAACTCTACATCAGCTCTCACCTGGCTAACTGAGTACGAGTAGAGTGCATTGATCAGTGCGATATGTTGATTAGTAGTGGTCTTCGGGGTTTTAATAACCCATGCTTACAGATGTGTCACAAATGATGCAGACGAATCCACCCCTTTTCATTTTCCAGATTCCCAAAATCTTATCTGATTATTTTTCTTGTGTATACATTCGATAGTCTTGCTAAATTCCACTTTTCTTTATTAATTTGTTAATTGGATATATCACAGCGAAAAAGTATAATCTACTGGATAGTACTGTTTTGTTGTGTAATATGTCCAATAAACAAATTAATATAGAATTACATACCACAGTACCCGAGTTTTATACACTGGTTTCGTTTTGTTGGTGTAGTGTAAAGTAAAATCGTTGGAGTCAGACCACTTACTAATCAGTTTTCCTTGCATCCACGACAGTGATGCGGTCTCAGCTTTAGGTATATTTGAGACTCGTAGCGTTTGTCAACGTGGTTGGAAAGTGGGATTTCAAATTAGTGATTCAATTGTGATCCCTGTTGTCGGCTATACGCAAATCAAAGAAGCTCATCCACCTACCATGAAAATTTTGTATGCTCCAGATCCATCTATTCCACTCCACACTGCTACAAAGTACTACAAACAGAATGAAAGTTCCTCCGAAGTCGACTCTTCTATGGTAACCCGAGGTAAGGTATTTGCTTTATTTTCTCATGTAGCCTTCATCATTCCTACAAATTTTATGCAAAATAATTATAATTTTAAATACTCTTTGAGAAGTCTAAAATCTAATCCATCTGATACATCCTTTCAAGATCTTGTCGACCTTAACATTTATTTGTTCAAGCATAATATATATGCTTGGAGATTTAAATTTCTATGGATATATCTCAGTAAGGTACACTGACAATGTTATTAATAGTTGTTCCATAGATGTTGTAAATGTTCTTTTCGTATTTGTTCATCCCACTGTGCACACGTGTACTGATAACTCCAGACGTTTGGATCCACCGATTAAACTGTCTTAGCGCAGTTTTTCCACAGCAACATTAGTGTTTATGTTGGATCCCATTGTCAGTTAAGATGACCACCACTTTTTAGGGGTTGTAAACTTTTACGTATTTCTTCAAAACACAATATTCCAAGCCATATACACATTAACACTTTTACTTAAATCCAAATAAATTCATATAAATTTCAGAAGTTATAGGTCTAAGAATTGAAAGCGAGTGATATTTATATCTGATGTTATTTTTGGATGTTTGATATCCCATACATTCGAGTGAGGTTCTGTGTTGTAAGAGGGCACTACTTTATACCGAAACCGAAATAAGGTTGGACATGAGAAAACAGTATCTGGTTGGTATACGTGAATGTTGAGTTCACTGAAAGCTCAATATGTACTCATGTTCCAGTAAACACTCGTTTTAAAAATGATGCAAAAGATTTGTCGCTCAGACAGATGATATTGGTGTAGCTGTGTTCAATGAGCTGGTTGGTTTAATGGCGAAGCTTTTATATTCCTCCTAGACAGTATCTTCAATGTTTATTTCCATATATAGTTAGCTTTTAGAATTCTTCATTAGTTTACTAGCCAGCACTCCTGTTAACGCTAAACACGATTGGTTGTTTCCGAACATTTTCTAATCCCTCTTGTCCAGTTGTATTGGTACTTATTATTTTGTTGACCTTATGTCCGTGTAACTTCTTTTTATTGTTTGTTAAATAGGAGCAATATCGGTGTATCTGTTGGTTGTAGATTTGTCTGAGTGTCAGGCCTCTAAGAATTCCCTAAAGATTTTGGCGTTCCCTTACCTGGGATTTGTACATTTTTCATTTAAACTGGTTTCCGTAGTCGTTTGCATGCATTGATATGA